GAGTTCACGCAGTCACGCTTCTTGAGATCCCTTGTTGCCAGGTTAGTAGCTGGTCTCTGGATGCCGGCAACAATTGCCCAAAATGGCGCGGTCTCTGCTGCTGCGCTAGCACACCAAGAGAGGTTTCAGCCGCAGTCTCCAACTGTCCTTTTTTTCCTGGGGGTCCTTGGTCTTTCCTAGCTGCAGACAGTCTCTCAGCTGAAAATCCTCTGCCTATTCGGGCTGTATGTTACCTCTTTCAGCTGCTCACCCTTATCTGCTCCAGGAGAAGGCACAGGACACGTCCCTTTATATCTCCGCCATTTTCCCTCCTCCTTTATTTTATTTTCAATATCAGATTGGCATTAGAAATGGCCGCCTGTGTTTTATTCACTTTCATTGTCTTAAAAACTTAAATAATTGAAGGTGGGCTGAAGTTAGAAGATACCCAGTGATAACAGTAGTAAGCAGAATTCTCTTTGGAACCAAAATATCCCACACGTAATTCTTTAAGAACAGCAAAAAGAATTTTCAATCATGATGTAGGATAGATCAAGAAGTCTTGATAGCCCTAGCTGGTTTGGCTCAGTGGATACAGCATCGGCCTGCGGACTCAAGGGTCCCGGGTTTGATTCCGGTCAAGGAAACATGCCGGGGTTGCAGGCTTGGGGCATGTAGGAGGGCAACTGATCAGTGATTCTCTTTCATCATTGATGTTGCTGTCTTTCTCTCCCTCTCCCTTCCTCTCTGAAATCAATAAAAAATATTTTTTTAAAAAAAGAACAGAGAATACTGATTAGCATTTATTACCATTCCAAAGGAAAATAGTATATTTTCAACTGAATTGGCTCAGCACTTCAGGGTTATATACTTAAAGTACTTTTTAATTTTTTTTTTTTATTATGGAAAACTTCAAACATACATAAAGTAGAGAAAATATAATGAGTTTTAACCTGATACCCAGTTCCACTGCTTTCCATGGAGCTTCAGTGTTTGAGTCAAATTGGACAACTTTAGTAAGCTAGAAATGTAGTATATTGTTAAGGTGAATATGACCTTTACCATCTAGGAAAGTATTTTGTTAAACCCAAATGTGGCACTTAGCAATAAAATTATGTATGACAGCCCTAACCGGTTTGGCTCAGTGGATAGAGCGTCGGCCTGTGGACTGAAGGGTCCCAGGTTCGATTCTGGCCAAGGGCATGTACCTTGGTTGCGGGCACATCTCCAGTAGGAGGTGTGCAGGAGGCAGCTGATCAATGTTTCTCTCTCATCGATGTTTCTAACTCTATCCCTCTCCTTTCCTCTCTGTGAAAAATCAATAAAATATGTTTAAAAAATAAAATTATGTAAGACAATTGAAAGTTATGAAGAATTTTTTTCCCCTAGAGACAATTGCTTTTGATTCCCCCCCCCACACACACACAGTTTATCTTTCCAGGGTTTTTGTTTGTATTTAGGGTATTGTCTTCCAATGTGAAAGTTATAGCAAAACTGATCGATTTTTTTCCTTCCCAGCTTCTTGGTTTTATGTCCTATTAAGAAAAGTCTTCAGCTGGTTTGGCTCAGTGGATAGTGCGTCAGCCTGTGGACTGAAGGGTCCCGGGTTCGATTCCACTCGGGGTTCGATGCCCAGGTTGCAGGATCGATCCCCAGTAGGGGGTGTGCAGGAGGCAGCCGATTGATGATTTTCTCTCATCATTAATTTCTCTCCCTCTCCCTTCCTCTCTGAAATAAATAAATAAATAAAAAGAAAAGTCTTCTCCAACTCCAAGATTGTAAAATTATACATTAGTATTTCTTCAAATACTCTATAGTTTTGTATTTTAATTTTAAAACCATAAAAAAATTTAAATCTAAATAAAATTTTAAAAAGCAAAAAAAGAAAAATAAATTAGAATAAGGGGTATAGTAGGGATCCAGATTTACCTTTTCCTAAACACCATTTATTGGTCAACTCATATTTTCTCCCATAATGTTGGGATGCCAGAATCATACGCTAATTTTCCATGTGTGCTTGAACTCTCCTTTATGCTAAGGCTTTCCCACATGGTTTCTGATCTTGAGTAGTTAACCCCACTCTAGTCACCACTCAGTCTCTTCTCTGAGTGATAACCTACTGCCAGGCCTTTCTCTGCCAGCCCCAAACCGTGTGCTAGCAAAAGCCACAGGCGTCAGGTACTTTGAATGCCTAAGAAAGAGCCTCAGAGGCTTCACTACAGTAAGTTTTACCAACCCTTTCATATATATAGTTTTGATTAGGTAAATTGAAATATTTTCTTTCCAGTAGAGCCATTTAGCAAACTTTTTGCTTTTCTGGTTCATAATTGCCTTATCCAATGAAGTATGGTCTGGAGCTAAAAGGTCTGGCTTTGAATTCCTCATCAGCCATTGACTATCATTGTGCCCTTGGAAAACTTACTAAAATTTTTTTCCACCTCCTGGAATTATTGTGGGAGTTAAATAGATAAATATGTTAGGTGTCTAGAATAAGTGGCACGTATTGAGCATTCAATAAATGTTAGTTGTTATTACTATATTACATCACAGAACTATGAAGAATAGGTACTTAAATCCTGATTTGTGTATTTTTGTTTGTTTTAAAGGGGACAATTCATCTCTTTCGAAAACCACAAAGATCTTTTTTTGGAAAGTTATTACAGGAATTTGGACTTGTAGCAGCTGACAGAAGGGTAAGTTATTTTTTATTTCTTAACCTAATTTTAATATTTGCACAAACATGACATTGAAAAAAAAAGTAATTTTTAAGGCAAATAGAAATCTCTTAATCCCACCACAACCCGGGCATATGCCCTGACTGGGAATCGAACCATGATCTCCTGTTTCATAGGTCAACATTCAACCACTGAGCCCGCCAGCGGGGCATATATCTCCAAATAACTGCCTTCTCACTAATTTACAACTCTACTTTCAAATAATCATACGTCTCCTTTCCTTGTAGGGAGTGGAATAGGACAAAAATGAAAAACACTTCACTTGATCTCTTTTTTTTATGTTTAGAGTGCCCTTCCTTCTTCTAATTAATTCCTAGCTATTTTCAAGGTGTATATCAGTTCCTCTCTCTTCTATGAACTTCCAAACTGTGATAATCTTTCCCCCTTATGTGGTCCTACTGCATATAACTTATTGGGAAATAACTAAGTACTGCCCTTTGGGGAGGGGTGGGTAACTTTATTTTGATATACTTTCAAAGTTACAAAATTAGCCAAACCGGTTTGGCTCAGTGGATAGAGCGTTGGCCTGTGGACTGAAGAGTCCCAGGTTCGATTCCAGTCAAGGGCATGTACCTTGGTTGCGGGCACATCCCCAGTGGGGAGTGTGCGGGAGGCAGCTGGTCGATGTTTCTCTCTCATCGATGTTTCTGGCTCTCTGTCCTTCTCCCTTCCTCTCTGTAAAAAATCAATAAAATATATTTTTTAAAAAAGTTACAAAATTAGTATAAGAAATTCCCTTATGCCCTTTACTCAGATTCATAATTGCTTACATTTTTGCTCCATTTGCTTTATCACTGTCTTTATGTATATTTTTTATAGAAACAAAATGATACTTGAGTTTATGTGTCAGAATCTATGTATGTATGTATGTATGTATGTTTGTATTTATGAATTTACTAGAGGCCCAGTGCACAAAATTCGTGCACAGGTAGGGTCCTTAGGCCTGGCCAGCAATCAAGGCTGATGGGGAACTTCCAGCTGCCAGCCAGGGCCTTCCTTCATTCCACGCCGCCCCCTGGTGGTCAGTGCATATCATAGCGAGCTGTCAAACTCCCTGTCGGTCAAACTCCTGAGGGGACAATTTGCACATTAGCCTTTTATTATATAGGATTTTATTTTTGTTAATTTTCACCCGAAGATATTTTTTCCATTGGTTCTTATAGAGAGGGGGGAGAGACAGAGAGAGAGAAACATCGATGTGAGAGAGACACATCGATTGGCTATCTCCTGTACTCACCCCGACTGGGGTCAGGAATAGAGCCTGCAACCGAGGTACATGCCCTTGACCGAAATCGAACCTGGCACCCTTTAGTCCACAGTCCTACGTTCTATCCACTGAGTCAAACTGGCTAGGGTTCAGAATTTATTTTTTTCATGAGTAATTCCTTTTTTGGAATTATTCTTTTACATTTATATGTTATAATATATACAACTTGGTTAATGATAATTTTGATAAATTTAGAAAATGTGACACTCTGACATTTGAAGTAAGTTGCACTTATTCCTTTGAATATTAAAAGTATGAACTATAGCAACTTGAACAGATTTGGTGAAATTTATCAGCAGTATACAAATAAGAATGATTTTCTTTTTCACAGTCCTGGAAGATATTGCTGTTTGGTGCAATAAACTTAACATGTACTGGCTTCCTGCTTATGTGGTGCAGTTCCACTAATAGTATAGGTATGTCACCAGTCTTACTTTTATTGTGTTAATCATTAGTTTTCACTTTTGTTCTTTTATTTATTTATTTGTTTTTATTGATTTCGGAGAGGAAGTGGGGGAGAGAAAGAGAGAGATAGAAACGTCAACCATGAGAGAGAATCATTGATCAGCTGCCTCCTACACACATACCTGCCCTCCCTCAGTGGGGATCCAGCCTGCAACCCAGGCTCTAACCAGGAATCGAACCGTGACCTGATTCATAGATTGACGCTCAACCACTGAGCAACACTGACTGGGCCACTTTTATTATTCTGATTTTTAAAATTGATTTGCAAGAGAGAGAAAGAGAAATAGAGAAACAACAATTTATTGTTCCACTTATATGTTCCCTGATCAGGGATAGAACCCACAACCTTGGCGTGTCAGGATGATGCTGTAACTAATTGAGCTACCCAGCCAGGACTTATGATTCTGATTTTTAGTAAAGGTACAGCTTCCTTTACCTAGAATATATTATTCTGAAATATAACTAAAAAAATTTAAATGGGAAAAATCTATATGAAAATTGCCTTGAAAACTGTTGTTTTGCTCAATTGTTAGGCATTATCTTTTGGAATGACCTATATTTTTTAAATACTTTAAATCTATTTGAAAAATTAAGATTCCTTCGTATTGTGATATATTAGTACTTTGGTCTATGCAGTTTATAAGTAGAATTTTGAGACTTCTTTTTTGAAAGAAGAAACATGTAATTTTTTTTATTGTGTCTTGACCTCTTATATTTTTATGTACCATGCTTTTTCATCCTGCTACTCAAAGAATATATTTTAATATATTAGATCAAGTGCGTCAGATGACAGAAGAAGGCAAAAAAATATGCTCACAGGTCTTTTGAGCATATACTGCTTTATTTAGAATTTAAGTTCTAAAGGAGCTTTTGTACTAACTTTGACTACATATATTAATCAAGTTCACTAAATAAATGGCAAATTATTCAGTTAATGAATGACTCAAATTTCTGTGGTGCAGGGAGGTAATGAACAATTTTTGTGATTTGCTATATTTCTTAACCATGGATTCAGTAACATTTTAATTGTTTTGCAGCTTTAACTGCCTATACTTACCTGACCATTTTTGATCTATTTAGGTAAGTTTTTAAAAATCTACTAATATTTTGAAGCTAATAAATAATTTGTCACACTGTTTTCTTTGTTTAAAGAAAAGTAATCTATGAAATAAGTAAAATTATCAATATCGAACATATATACAAACAATAAATTAGCATAAATACTGGAAGAAAATACCCCATTTACATAGCAACAGAAAAGATAATATCCTGGCATTAGATCAGGTGCTTCAGTGCCTACCTGTGGGTGAGTCAGCTGTGGCTAGGGAACAGGGTCACATAAGACATATTAGGTCCCACTGTAACTGTATATGGAAAAACAAATAAGTAGCTAAGAAGTGAGTAATTATGAGCTAGAGAGACAATCTATTGGCTCCCTGCTCCATATAAGTGTTGCAAAATACTTTTATATCTTCAAGATCCATGCCATACAAATATGTCATAAGGGTGTCTTTACATTAATCACATAATTAAGTCCACTTGATTGGTCTAAAACTATCTGAATTGAATTACCTGAAATTTACATGTAGTAAGTTTTAGAGTGAATCTCCACTACATTAGAAAATGATCATTTTGTCCCATACAGAATGTTGTTAAGGTGTTGTTAATATTTAGCTTACATTTTATCAAAGATTAAATAAAGTTTATAAAAGTTAAGATTTATTGTATATGCCTAGAATGAAATGTATTACTATTATTATTACTGTGTCAGTTTTTGCATGCTCAGTTATGGAAACTATTTAGGGTGGATAAGTTATTGAGCAGAGAAGGTATGGATTTAGGTTCTGTTTAACCAACTTGATGATGTATCATCCTCTTTCAGTTTCTCCACATGTTAAAACTGCCATGTATTAGGATGTTCATTGTGAATAGATTTTAACTTATTAAGTAAGTTAATTTAATCTGTATAATGATAACTTTCAGTAATTTAGTAATTCTGAAAACTTAATTTCTTCCTGCATATTCTCTTCTAGTTGTAGATCTAACACTAAATTTATTTTTCTTTTTACTTAGTTTAATGACATGTTTAATAAGTTACTGGGTAATGATGAGGAAACCCAGCCCTGTCTATTCATTTGGGTAAGTTCAAATTATTTTATTTTCTGCTAACTTATTGCTATTAAAATAATAGTTATATCTATAATAATAAAAGCTCTATAATGATAAAAGTGTAACATGTTAATTGGACCCGACAGCCGAACAGCAGAACGACCGTCCAGACAACCTTCCGGACGAAGCCGGGGCTGCGGTGGCTGTGAGGGCGGAGGTAGCCGGAGCTGGGAGAGCTAAGCCCCTTGCACAAATTTTGTGCATCTGGCCTCTAGTTAGCCAATAAAGAGTTAGCTACACTAGTTCTAGAAAACAAATGCTGCCTGCTTAGTAGAATAATCAAATAGTGAAAGTAGATAGAAAAAGGTCTTGCAAGTGGATTCTAGATAAGAAACATGAATATTTAAATTTGTCATATTAAAATGTTCACATTATGTTATTTTCTATTTTATAAAAAAATATAGAATTTTCAAATTAAGTTCTTTAGTTTCGGGGAATCTCATTTTATTTTGTGTGTGTGTGTGTGTGTGTGTGTGTGTGGCGAAAATGATGCTTTTAGTAATTCTCAGAGCGGGCGCCCATTGTATAGGATCACCTATTTTATTTATTAAATATATTTTTATTGATTTCAGAGAGGAAGGAAGAGGGGATAGAAACATCAATGATGAGAGAGAATCATTGATTGGCTGCTTCCTGCATGCCCCGCACTGGGAATCTAGCCTGCAATCTGGGCATGTGCCCTGACCAGGAATAGAACCATGACCTCCATAGGTTGACGCTCAACCACTGAGCCATGCCGGCGGGCTGGGGAATCTCATTTTAGTTAGAGAAAGTACAGAGGAGCCCTAGCTGGTTTGGCTCAGTGGATATAGCGTCGGCCTGTGGACTGAAGGGTCCTAGGTTCTATTGCAGTCAGGGGCACATGCCTGGACTCAATCCCCAGTAGGGGGCGTGTAGGATGCAGCCAGTCAATGATTCTCTCTCATTATTGATGTTTCTCTCTTTCTCTCTCCCTCTCCCTTTCTCTCTGAAATCAATAAAAATTAAAAAATGTAAAATATTTAAATAGGAGAGTACAGAGGATTTTCATGTAAGTGTGTCTTCTAGATGTTAAAGTACATGTGATATATTTTAACATAAATGCAGTGGCAAAGATGGATTTTTAAAAAAAAATTTATTGATTTTTTTTTTTTTTATAGAGTGGAAGGGAGAGGGATAGAGAGTTGGAAACATCAATGAGAGAGAAACATCGATCAGCTGCCTCCTGCACACCTCCTACTGGGGATGTGCCCGCAACCATGGTACATCCCCTTGACCGGAATCAAACCTGGGACCCTTGAGTCCGCAGGCTGACGCTCTATCCACTGAGCCAAACCAGTCAGGGCTAAAGATGGATTTTTATATTAAGACTGGATTTTTTTATAGCAATAGACTAAAGAATTTGAGTTTTCTCTTCCTATAGTTTTAGAAAATACTGAAAGTTGAACGATAGTCTTTTATATTAGAGGTTTTAAAAAATACCTATTAGAGCCCCGCTGGTGTGGCTCAGTGGTTGAGCATAGACCTAGGAACTAGGAGGTCACAGTTCAGTTCCCAGTTGGGGCACATGCCCAGGTTGTGGGCTTGGTCCCCAGTAGAAGGTATGTGAGAGACAACTAGTTGATGATTCTCTCTCATCATTGATGTTTCTATCTCTCTCCCTTTCCCTTCCTCTCTGAAATATATATCCATATATATATATGAAAAATATGAGTTCCTTCAATTTAAGGAAACAACTTGAAAAAAGAATTTTACTTTGGTAAAGAAATTCTTGGACCAAACTTACTCTTTGTCTTCACCATATCATTCATTGGGATTATGTTCTTTTGAACAATATTAGGATTGTTTTTGTTGTGTTTTGTTTCTACGTAAACAGTGGGACAAAGTAAACGTAAGATGTTAATGCAAAATGAAGATATAAGTGTCACTGAAATTTGGTAGAGTTCGGTTATTACTATGATAATCAGTTGTCAGGTATAAATATTTGTATTTGAAAATCTGTGACTCTGACCCAAGTCTTTTGGTTGTTAAGTGACAGAAATCCAACTCAAAAGTAGTTTGGGGAGTACATGGGGACTTTGATAATTTAGTGATTATGTGTATAAGTATAATAAGTGGTTAAAAGCATGAACTTTGGAGCCAGAGTGCCCGAGTTTGAAAACCTGACTCCTCCACTTGTTAGTTACCTGACTCTAAGCAGTTACCTTTTCTCTTTGTGTTTCAAGTTTCTGATCTCTCTTTTTTTTTTAAGTGGATAAAGTAACCCTCATAAGGTGAGGTAAAATGAGGTAATATGTTAAGCACTTTGACCTTATCTAATACGAGACGAGTCAATTAAGTGTTAGCTGTTAATTAGATAATACATAGTTATTTCTAGAAAAATAAGAGCCATAAGTGGGTCCTGGAAATGTATGTTGTATAAATAGGCGCTCTTTATCTGTATGTTTATTTTAGAAACTCCGTAGTCTGTTCCAACCATGGTTGGCTTATAGTAAGCACATATGTATATTGAATGAGTTGAATACATGAATGTGAATGTATTCTAAAGGTACTGCTTTGTGAATTGAAAGAATTTTGCTGACCTAATGAACTTTCTGATTTCAGATTTGAAAGATTGGAGGTCCTGGCTGTGTTTGCCTCCACAGTGTTGGCACAGTTGGGAGCTCTCTTTATATTAAAGGAAAGGTACATTTGTGTATGATGTTACTGTCATTCTAAATGCCATTTGTGTTACCTTTGGGAACATAAACAATCCAGTGAGAGACAGTCTGGTTTATAGGGTATACAAATTAAGATGAAAAGTGCTGGAGTTTTTTTTGTTTATTTGTTTGTTTTAATATTTTATTGATTTATTACAGAGAGGAAGGGAGAGGGATAGAGAGTTAGAAACATTGATGAGAGAGAAACATCGATCGGCTGCCTCCTGCCCACCTACTGGGGATGTGCCCACAACCAAGGTACATGCCCTTGACCAGAATCAAACCCAGTACCCTTCAGTCCGCAGGTCAGTGCTCTATCCACTGAGCCAAACTGGTTAGGGCATTATGCTGGAGTTTTGATAGTACAGTTTATTCATGTTTTAGACTATTCTCCCTCCTTTTCGTCCTCTTTTATGACCTTTGAGGCTACTGAATCCAGTTATAGGTAGGCTTGAATGAAAGAAAGGATTCAGTGAGATGTGCTGTAATGCTTAGTACTACAAACCCATTGGAACAGGTCTGGAGAGAAAGATTGGCATTACATATTGTGGATAATGAGTCTCCTTGCCTTATTATTGCTAATAATCAACAGTTGGTTATCATATTAAAGATTTTGTGAATTTATTGGGTTAATAATTTGTTTAATAAAGCTTTTTAATTTTATCATTTATAGGACTTATTTAATACATTATTTCTTTCTTTTAGTGTAGAGCGCTTTTTGGAGCAGCCCGAGATACACACGTAAGATTTTCACATAACATATAATTTACTATTACTAACTTAATTGGCATATTATTAAATAGCTGTTACTTTGGTCAATATTAGAGTTCAGAGAATGGCAGAATTCATTTCTTTGGTATTTCCCAAAATCTCCAAATCCCAAGATTCCGTCTTTTCACCCTTCCTGTTCCCAAGCCGTTGTACTGCAGAGAAACGCCTCTCTACCATGGCTTCAAGTCCCTCGTTATTTCCAGGCGCAGGGCAACACACTAAGCCAGTCCCGTCTGGTCTTCTATAATTTGATCCTCAAAATCTTTTAGTAGCATCTGTAGAAATTGTTATTATTTTCAATATAGTTGCCAACTATATGGATTTCACCTACTTTTGGTCAGTTTAATTCAGGACAGTCTGACCTGTCCAGTGTACTATAAACCAAATACCATTAGCATTCATACAGATTTATAACAGCAGTTACCTGTAAGAAGATAGTGTTAATGCTAAGAGTCTTTTTTTGTCCTGTGTAGGGTGGGTTATAGGGCTAGAAACCAAGTTCAGATTGTGGCTCTGCTAATATCAAACCATAGAAGCAGGCCACTCTGCCTTCCCATTTCTTTCTTAGTCTCTCTACATGCTGAAATTACATATTGATATTACCAAGAAAAAAATAATGGTGATGTTATTGTTCTTTTTTAGGGGAAGATTATTAGTTGGTACTTTTGTGGCGCTTTCATTCAACCTATTCACGATGCTTTCTATTCGGAATAAACCTTTTGCTTATGTCTCTGAAGGTACGATTGTTGCCATTAATAAAAAATGTATTAATCTCATAAAAACAAGTCTTTTGTTTGTTTCATTAACTTACAAGTTAATGAGAAAATACATTCTGAAGAAAAGAGAGAATTACCGCAAATGCTTTCAAGTTTTCTTTAAGCAGAGAATTATAAAACAAAATCTAATTAGTTCAAGCTTTATTACTTAAAAACAGGTAAGACTGGCATATATTAAATTAAATGTGCCCAACTGGTATGGCTCATTGGTTGAGTGTGGACCCATAAACTAAGAGGTCACTGGTTGGATTCCCGGTCAGGCACATGCCCAGGTTGCAGGCTCCATCCTCAGTAGGGGGCAACCGATCAATGTTTCTATCTCTCTATCCTCTCCCTTCCTCTCTCTAAAAAAAATCAACAAAAGCATATTTTAATTAATTAAATGTGATGAAAAATTACATTTATCAAATAACATGAATGAGATTTTATATGTATAACCTACCTACAAAAAAAAGTGTATTTCAAGCATTCTAGGAGCTTCAGGATATTTAGAATAGCTGATGTGCTCGTAAAAAATAATTTAATCCCGATAATTAAGTAAGTTCTCAGGTACTTCTCTTTGGCAGTGGTAGGTGGGCTGGCATATTTTCATGTAACTAAAGTTTTTTCTCTTGAAATATTCTTTTATTTTTAAGTCTTTACAAATTCAGACTGGTTATTTTACTTCACCGGTGTAAAGGGTTAACCAGTGATTGATGAAGAGATGAGGTATAAACAAAAGTGGGCCATGGGCACAGACCTACATTTTGAAGCAGAGACAGTCAGGTTTTTTTAGGTCTCACTGCCTTGAACACCAGGATAATCAAGAAGATAACTTTCTGAAATGCCCATTCAAATTTAAACGACTTCGTGAATGTCATAAAGTATGAGTTATATTTGTATGAGTGACAGTTTAAGAGTTTACTGATTGAACTTGAAAATTAAATAATACTTGTGATGACCAGCATTATTTATTTATTAGTTTTGGTTAATCCTCACCTGAGAATTTTTTTCCCATTGCTTTTCAGAAAGTGGATGGGAGGGAGGAAGGGAGAGACAGACAGACAGACAGACAGACAGACAGAGACAGACACACATAGATTGGTTGCCTCCTTCACAAGCCCAGACTGGGGATGGGAGCTAACCGGAAACTCCCTTAACCAGAAATTGAACCTGAGACCCTTTGGTGTGTGGGTCAATGCTCTAACCTCTGAGCATACTGACCAGGGCCAACATTATTTAGAATTTACAAATTGTTGAGATAGTATCATGCTCACTCCGGAAATTTTAAAAAGATTCCGAGATTTACAAGCACTCTGATCTCTTTGTACAGATCAGAAAGAATCAAGAAGAGAAAGAATACTGGTAATATCATGACCCTGATATAACAACTGTTAACCTTTGTATTTTACCCTTTCATTTTGTATGCACATAAACATATTTTTGCATACCTATAACTGTATGGACTTAAAATTTTTATGCCTTGTTTTTCTTCCAATTAACAGTGTCTAGAGAAAAAAATGCTTCCCTGATTTTTGGGATATTGATTTAAGCTGCTTATTAAGAAACAAAAGACTCAGAAAGAACCTTTGACCTTTCCTGCCCTACAGATTCAGACTGAGAAAACTGCTTCAGGAAGGAGAATTTAGGATGGCACCTTAGTCTGATTTGAATTACGTCCAGTAAATAGGAGGGTTTCAGGCATGGCTTTGGTAACTAGAGACCCACTGGGTCCCATTGTTTCTGAGTCACCTCCCAGGTTTTGCATGCCACCTGTGTTCCCCTCTTCAACTACCTGTAAATTGCCCATTCTCACTTCTGAAATGTAATATTCCACTTCCCTCCTTTCCCCTTTGTCTAAAAATGTCTTATATATCCAGTATTGCCTCACTGTGTTTAGAATTTTCATAGTTTTATCATGTCTGTGAATTCTCCATGCACATGTATTAAACTTTTATTTTCTCCTGTTAAAAGGAAAGAAAAATAATGCTTTCATAATATTTTGTCATATGGATATTTTTAAACATTAGTCTATTCCTATACATTCCCAACTTTACTTTTTACAGATAATGCTCTAATCAGCTTTTTTGTATTAAATTTCGTGTATGCATGTAGGATAAATTCCTGGAGAAGAAATTATAAATACAGTATTTTTAAAGGCTTTGATAAATATTACCAAACTCATTTCCAAAAAGGTTATCTAGTTTGTATTTTCATTAGTTGGAAATGAAAGTTCCCAGAAACATCATGATTTGTGATGTTAGCTAAAATTTGAGTGGAAAATAGTATCTACTAGGCATTGTGCTAAATGCTTTACACAGAATAACCCATTTCTCCCTATAACATATCAGGTAAATTATTTTAATATTCCTATTTTACACTGAAGCCTGAGACATTAAGTCACTTACCCCAGGCCATACATGTAGGGAAGGGCGAGATGGAATTTGAAGTCGGGTATTCTGGCATCTGGGGCTGCTCTTAACTGTTCTACTACTAGTATAGTGGCTTTTGTGTACGGTTTGGCAATCTTTTTTCTTTTTTATCAGAGTATACATTAAAAATGAATATTCTTAGCTCCTGGGGTAACTGTAAGAGGACACTTGAGCCTGGAGGCTGCTTGTCCAGGGACACTAACCAATAGGTGTCTTTGCATGTAGCCAGGACCCCACCTGGCATTTCTGAGAGCTGAGGGAATTAATAATTGGTGTACTTATAACCTATTCTCAGTACACTGGTTAGAAAACTTTATGCTTTACAGTATAAAGAGCCTTTAAAACTTCAAATTAATAGTAATAATGATATGTGTAACCTCACTAATTCCTTCAGGTCAACTATAAATTGTAGTCAAAACTGCTTTTGGTTTAGTATCTTAAAGGCGTAAAAGAGGGAAAAGTTCTATAGTTGAGGTGTCCTTTTGTAATGTTAGGTGGATTGTTGCCAAACTTATTTTGAACATTAAAGAAATCAAGTATTTTTGGTAGTGATTTCTTCTATATAGATAATTTGGTATTTTCTTCTTAAAGCTGCCAGTACAAGTTGGCTTCAAGAGCATGTTGCAGATTAGTCGAAGG